AAAATTTTTTCTAAAGTACCCCGATCCAGAAGTTATCGCGTACCACATAATCAACCATGGAGAAGACGAATCTGCAATCGGTTTTAACCGAACAAGCTTTTAAAATTTTTCGATCCGGTGATATGATGCTTCTTTTTTTTGAAATTGTCCCTTCATTAAACAAAAAAATAATGCTTATTAAACGTTGCGGTACGCTCCCTATCTACAGTTTTCCATTTAAGGTTTTTTGTGGCTCTCTGTCATTATCGATGAGGTTTTTTTTATCGATTGAGAATGAGTTAATCGATAGTGAAAACAGTCAATCGGCAATTTCGATCATAAAACCGCAATTATCAGACCATGATCGTTTAGTCGAACCGTTACAGCTCATCTCGATTGGAAAAAGAATCGCAGTGTCATGGTGTAAAATCGCGACTGGAAAGCAGTTGTGATCAATCGATAATCTAGAGTATGACTTCAATCGGGTTTTTATACACTAACATCGTAAGTTTTCACTGTTATTTGCGACTGTTCCATAACAAAACTTTTTTTCGACAATTATGATTGCAACAGTAGTCAGAATTATGCACACTAGAAGAACGCCACTTATTTTTATCCGAGATCAATCGATAAAATCATCAATCAGCCGCATGAAGAGAAAAAAACCACACATTTGTATTAGAAAAAAGATATCTGGACCAGACTTGCCAGATGGGCCGTATTTTGCGGACAAATTCCGCTTTCTGTGGTTTTCTCCGCAATTTGTCCGCTTTTCGAGGATTTTTTGTTTTAGTCCTTTTTCCTGCAATGAATGTTTTTACATTTTCTCATAAAAAGTTTGCCGCCTTCGGCGGCTGAATGACTTGTCAAAACAATGCTTTTGCAACTTTTATAAAAACAGATGCGCACTATTTTAGGAACTAAATCAGAAATCTACCCCGGGAGTGAGTGGTAACAGAAAAACATTAGCTTGTCTCAAGTGCTGCTGAACGGGAGTGTGAAAAATAGTGAAATGCTAAATCTTCAAGAACGCTAACTCGATCAGAAAACCTTAACTATTAAGTGCTGTCGTAAACTGCGGGAAAGTGTCGAATTAAATTTTGTCTTACCATACATAACCCTTGAAATTTATGATGGCTGATCAAAAACGCGCATCTACAAAAAGCCAATATCGGTTCAAATTGGAATTTAAAGGATGTTTTGTAATTCTTTTGAGTTTCTTAAGTGGAACCACCATAAAGTGCTAGAAAAATTTGTTTTGATACCCTTTGTATTTGCTGAAAAATACGTTTCCGCATTTTCGACTTTTTATTCCGGTTTTCTGACCTAAACTTTCTTCTTGCAAGTAATTGATTGAGATGATTACTCACGATCAATCGACATGTTATTTTGCCTCCGGATTAATAGTATGAAATTATCGATTGTATATTTATCACGGTTAATTCAGAATCTCTCGTCTTCTTTGATTAAGTGATAATTCTTCCTGTAATTGTGACTTCGCATCACAAAAACGGGATTAAAGGAATTTGTCGACCGATCGGTAGTGTTTCTTCTAGATCAATTGATCAAGATTGTACTTCGATTGGAATTTCCCCGCAAGAACACGATATGAAAGCAGTTCTCGATTGATTCAGAGTTTTACTGCCAGCGCGTTTAGATATCGATTTTGATTTTCACTAAATATTATTCATTGTTTTTGGCACTTGAGTTCTTTAGCTCCGTCACTTTTTCTGTTCTAGAGAATTTTTGTCATTGAGTAAAATCATTGTGTTTTAAAAAAGTATTCTATTTTTTTCTTTCTTGTGTACTGTACAACGGACTTAAAAGATAAAAACATCCTAAATTCGGCATAATATAGAAGAATGTACCAACAAATACAATTAGCCGGTCTGCAAGCAGTAGACCGGAGATAGCCGTAAGGCGCCAAGCCCGCAGCACCCACTGAGACTCAGATGTCCGGGAACGGAGATCCTGATCTCATCAGAGGACCAGAGGTGACGAAAACTTTTCTGACTATCTAATTAAGCCAACTAGCCATGATCGAACGTGACTCCGCTCATCGCAATTAATCAGAGTTTAATTTCGGTTCCCAACTAATAGCGATTTTTATTTAATATTGATTAACCTCGCATGGTTATAAACCTCAAATAAACGGGTTTGTTTGATTGATCGCGACTGTTCGGCATAAACAAAGTTTCGCGATCGTAGGCGACCCTATTCGTAATCTAGATAAATTGTAGCTGTTCGTTAAATTTCGAGCAATCGCATTTAAAACGAAACCGCATGTATCGCCATCAAAAAATAATCGAGATTTTACTCCATAGAATCTCAGTTTCTAATTTAAACACGATGAAATTGAGAGAGCAGTAGATGCGGCTAAATCTGATCTATTTCTTAGTCCGAATCAAACGCAATCCGACTTTCAGGTTCGAGCAAACGGTAAAAATACTGATCGCGATCAGTCAAGACTCAAACTTTGTCGCGATGAATGATCAACGATCGGTTAGTTCTTTTTCTGTTGGATGGGCATTAATCGCTGTGTTTTACTAAAATCGCTAGTAAAAAAAAGAGAGAAGTGTCCATCAGTAAACCATCGATTTATCAACTAATCGAGACTATTATATGAGATAACAATTACTTGTGATTTTTTTGAATCACCATGAGTTATGATGCAACGTTTAGCCGGCGACCAAAACGATCAACTCAGAAAAACCCCATGGGTAGTGATGTCTCTTTTTTTTGGAAGAAACACATTGCACCTGAACAGAATTCACCTTTTAAAAAACTACAAAAAATAGATAAAAATCAGTATAATTTATTCAAGTTTCAATAATAACGAAGAGTAGCATAGATGCGATTCGATAATCTAAGTTCATCTATAAAAATTATTAGTGGACGATAGCGCTTTTAAAGTCATTGGAACTTCATTTGCGTGTATCCATAAGCTGTTCATATTTAGGAATGTGATATTAACGAAATTTCTTGTGATGCATTCCATGTTTGTTTGGAATTTAATTCAACTGGCTTTGATACTTGGCCAGCTTCGACACAAACAAATTTTGAATAATTATGTTCACCTATATCGTTAGAATTTTTTGCTTTTTCGATCCAAGGATTCCAAATAACAAAATCATTGAATGTTTGTGTCTTTATTTGAATTTCAAACTGTTGTTGATTACTATTGTCAATGATTGTTACCAGATTATTGTTAGTTGCTCCATTCTTATAAACACGATCTGTTTCAGATACGAATTCAATATATTCATTTGTTTCATGTTTTAACGTAGCATTATCCACTTTATCAATATAATCAATATTTCTTAGCCCAGAACTAAATAACAATAAAAAAATAACAGATTGGATCCTATACTTGTAAAGTGTATTTCTTACATTTTTGTTTTGTTTATATCCGATACAGTAAAATAAGTATGAAGTAGAGCTGTAAAGTCAAATTGTTTATCATCTTTATTGATAACAGTTAATTTTTGTTCAAATTTGTTTGCTTTTAAAGTAATACTTAAAGTTAATTCAAATGTAAATGGCCAAATTTTTAACGTATCTTCATCATCATGTAAATGAAATTTTGCTGTTACATCTCCTGTTTGTTTATCTACATTTGTGTCACCCAGCGTCCATTTCTTTGTTCGAGCAAATCCATGTTGCGGTAACTTGCCTGGACCGAACTGTGGAAATACTACTGGAATGCCACCACGAATTCCTTTACCGTTTTCGAAAGAAGCTTTATCACTAAAAAAGATAGAGTTAATTGATTGCGCATATATTATCTATATAAATATTGGAACTAACCTCAAAAATAAAATCTTTTGATCATTAACATTCCAACTAACGACTGTAGCACCATACAGTAAGATTTCAACTGATGCTTTATTAGTACCATGAATTAGACGAATGGCGGAAAAGCCAGAAACAAACTCAAACTCAGTGGTAGACATTACACAGAAAAATGTAATCTAAGAAGACAAAATAAAGCACCATTACTTTCAATTATGCATCGCGACACCGCTTTTGGTGGCCAAAGCGGTACAGACAAATACTAAAACAGCTGATGCGATTTTGCCATATAGCCACTAACTGATGTCGTCTGATTGTCAGTCAGAAAAGTGTCTTTCATGAAAAGACACCTTTGAAAGACAAACACTATATTTATTGTAATGAATAGAGTGAGGAATCTATATTCACTATGATATAGTTCTATTATACTATAGTGCTAGATGAACCATAGAATGACGAGTAGCCAATCAAAAATGAGAAAATATTTTTTCCTTTTTTTTATAAACTAGACCGCATATGTGCGTCCTCTTTTTTCGTGCAACTGCTTTTTTTTGCAAGTTTTCAAAAACTATGCATAAAATTATGTGTTTGATGTCCCAGTTTGTGAAACTTAAAGGGATATTGAAATGGTGTGAGCAGAAAATCATGTTTGTTTGATTGTCTTGGCCATGACGATATTTTTTATTTTATGTAGCATAGACTTCAAACTACTGTTTGTTCTGTTGGATTTATCCAGTTCTGCAGAAGCCATTCACTTTCGCCACTTGAACGAGTGGCAGTTTGACGACAAATCTTAATTTCATTGAAGCAACTTAATTATCCGTGTACAATGCAGATTCTGTGACTCTATCTTCGACATCGTTGAGTCTTGATTCGATTGTTGAAAGAACACTAACTTTGCTGTGAAGATCTTGAAGTCTTAATGAAAAGAAATTATACGTCACTGTTAGATATAGATTTGGAGAAAAATTAACTCTACCATAACCTGTAGGGTAGAGTATATACAGTTGTAAGTTACAATAGATTTTGAATACTAATTTTTCACAGGGTAGGATATAGGATACTACAATGAACTTCTTCACTGTAAAGCAAATAGTATCATTTTGATTTTGAATAGCTTTTAATATTTGATGGTAAGTTATAGTAAATGAAACGTATTTTTCCAATGGCATTCCAGTTCGATTAAAGATAGGTATGGGCTTCGAAATCAACTTCATCTTGCACCGTGAGTCACAACAACATCGTGTTACGCGTACACGATTGGTCTATTTTTAAGATCAGTTTTCTTGCACTCTTAAGGCAATGACACGTTACTTGCATATTGATGCGATTATTGACTGAGTAATTACAAAATAGCTTTTCCATCTCATCGCTCATTAATTCGTTGTAATCGTGTCATATCAACTGCAGTCGCGGAGAATATAGCTAAGAAATTTGACTTAATCTAGCTTCATTTTAATTAGACATCGAGTCGCATTATCAAAAGTTCAGTTAATATACTGAAAAACGTTGAAGAGCGGCGGAAAAGACGGCCTACACAAAGTCAAATCCTTTTTATAACATAAGTCGATTCTTCATCCCCAAAGCAACTACCTGTTCACATATTCACGAATTAGACTTATTCGTTGAAATCTCCAAATGATATCGGTCTTTTCGAACGCTTTTTCAAACGTATTTCTGAGTCATTTATTCAAAAAATTATTCACTTGCTCTTATACAGAAAAAATTTTCATTTATAAGACTAAATTTTCTCTTATCTATAACTTTCATGCTAATTGAATACATTGTATCCGAATAATATTT